TAGAAACATGGTTGGTTCACAAGTCAGTTCCAGGTCCCTCTCCCTTTCCCTCCCTCCTCCCATGCCTTCCCCCCAAATACCCCATTATCCCCTCATTTCCCCAGGGAGGGTGAGGCCTTCCATGGGTGTGTCCAAAGTCTGTAATTTCATCCAGGGCAGGGCCTAGACACTCCCCCCAAAAGTTCAGGGTGAGAGTTCATCTCACAATGTTGTATGCGAGTCCAAAGCCCATGTGTATACTTGGGATGAATACTGATCTACTGCCCAAGGTTCAATAGATTACCTAGGCCTCCTCACTGACACCCCCTTTCAGGGGGTCTTGATCAGTCCCATACTGGATTCCCAGGCATCAGCCTGGGATTCAAGAGTTAACCCTTGTCAGGTAAGCTGTTTCTGGGGTTAAACCAGCCCAGTCTTAACTCCTTTGTAATCAGTCCTCCCTCTCTTTTACTGGCTTTCTTGAGTTCAGCTCAGTAGTTAGATGTGGGAGTCTGCCTCTTCTTCCATAAGCCCCTGAACGGAGTTTCTGTTTCCCAAACTCTCTGGCTATGAAATTGTAGGCTGGCACTCCCAAGATCTATGTCTAAAATCCATATATGAGAGAGTACGTGACATGTTTCTTTTTTTGTGACTGTATTACCTCACTCAGGATGGTTTCTTCTAGTGTCATCCCTTTGCCTGTGAATCTCAGGATTCCATTGTTTTTTTTTTCTGCTCAATAGTAGTCCATTGTGTAAATGTACCACATTTTCTCTATCCACTCTTCAGTTGTGGGCCATCTAGGTTGCTTCCAATTTCTGGCTATTACAAATAATGCTGCTATAAACATAGTAGAACAGACATCCTTATTGTATGAATGGACATCTTTTGGATATATGCCTAAGAGTGGAGATGCTGGGTCTTATGGTAGGTTTATTCCCATTTTTCTGAGGAATCTCCATACTGATTTCCAAAGTGGCTGAACCAGTTGGCACTCCCACCACCAATGGAGGAGTGTTCCCCTTCCACCACATCCTCTCCAGCATAAATTGTCATTGGTGTTTTTGATTTTAGCCATTCTGACATGAGTGAGATGGTATCTCAGAGTTGTTTTGATTTGCATTTCCCGGATGGCTAAGGATGTTGAGCATTTTCTCAAGTGTCTCTCAGCCATTTTAGACTCCTCTATTGAAAATTCTCTATTTAGTTCTGCAGTCCACTTTTTAATTGGATTCTTTGGTGTTTTGGAGATTGCTTCTTGAGTTTTTTGTAAATTTTATTGACCAACCCTCTGTCAGATGTGGGATTAGTGAATATTTCTTCCAATTCTGTGGTCTGCCTTTTTGTCTTGCTGACTGTGTCCTTGGCCTTACAGAAGCTTTTCAGTTTCAGGAGGTCCCATTTATTAATTGTTGGACTCACTGTCTGTGCTACTGGTGTTATGTTCAGGAAGCTGTCTCCTGTACCAATTTGTTCAAGGGTACAACCCACTTTCTCTTCTAAGAGGTTCAGTGTTGCTGGATTTATGTTGAGGTCTTCGATCCATTTGGATTTAAGTTTTGTGCATGGCGATAAACATGGATCGATCCACCAGGTTTGCCAGCACCATTTGTTGAAGATGCTTTCTTTATTCCATTGTATATTTTTAGCTTCTTTGTCAAAGATTAGATGTTTATACGTGTGTGGGTTAATATCAGGGTTTTCAATTCGTTTCCATTTTTCTATGATGATTTTTAATCATTTCTGCTCTAGTCCCTTCAAGGGAAACATTACAAAACATTTGGCTGACAGTGTTTCATGGGTTAGAAAATCAGTGTAATGATATTGATATAAACACTGGTTATTGGGCCATACTCACAGATATATGGGAGACTTGAATTTTCGGGACTTGGTTCAAGATTTATCATAAGCAAAGTATTTTAGTATGTTTTCTAGAGATCATTCGTTTTATTATTTTTTATTTTTAAAACAATTTATTTTACATACCAAACCCATTTCCCTCCACCTCCCATCACTATACAAAGAGAGTGAGATTTCCCATGCGGGATCATCAAAATCAGTCACAACATTTGTGGCAGGACCTAGTCCCTCTCCCACGTGTCTAGGCTGAGCAACATATCCCTCCATCAAGAATGGGCTCCAAAAAGCCAGTTTATGCATTACTTATATATGCAGGTTCTACTATCACTGATGCCACAAATTGCCCATGACCTGCAACTGTCAACCACATTCAGGTAGTTTGGTTCAGTCTCATTCAGGTTCCTTACTTGTCAGTATGGAATCAGTAAACTCCCCTTACTCAGGTCAGAAATCTCTGGGGGTTGTCCCAGCATGGTCTTGACCCTTTGTTCATATAATTAGTCCTCCCACTCTATGTCATCCTAATGGTATAAATTCATAATGGAGAAGAGGTAAGAGCTTATATTAAACATAGTGTCAACCAAAATCAAATGGGCCCCAATTCTAGGCCTGATAATTTTAGAGACTGGTGAATCCAGTTGAAATGCCATAACAACCTCCTTGTTGGGAACCACAGAATAAAGAACTCAATTCCCAGAGAGACATAAACTCAGTCCTTTTAGACAAATTTCTTTCCATGTTGAAGAGCAAAGCTGACTGCTTCACAAAGGGAGTTCTGCAGAGTGGAATGAGACTGCACCCTCTTTTATGAAACAGGAACATTGCATGACTGATTCTATGCCAACATAGCCATGGTAATTATGGAAAACATTGCTATGATCAAGGAGAGGAAAGGAGACATAGATTACACCACTGTTTTTAGCCATGTTCCCATTGGCTCACTACCTCATTGCGAGGAAAATCCGGACCATTGATTGGGCTAACAGTACGGTCTGATTGGGCTAAAAGTCAGATTCAATTACATTTGCAACTTTCCCACCCTGTCCTTGATATTTATGTACACTGTGTTCTCCCTGAGGGGTTCACAGTGAAGTCCTCAAGCTCTTCATTTGCAGGTAAATGCTGCTTTTGGAATCATGTATTGAGACAGGGAATCTGCCTTGCACAGACCCATATACTATGTTGCATAATTATTAGTTTTGTCTTTTACTGTGCGACCCACTCCACCCCCTTCCTGGTAGCCTGGTGGATTCAGTTCATGCTATGGTCTTTAAATGTGAATCCAGTGGTTTCATAGGAAAGTATCAGTGACTTCTCAGGCTGCAAGATGCCTGCAGTTGACTCTGACAGCTGCACCTCACATTTTACACGTGAAAACAGAATTCTGTCAGTTAACAGACACAAATATTCACTGTTCCTCTTACTCATGCCTACTCATACACTCAGTGTATATCCTTATCTATAAGTTATATTTTAAAAGAGCAACAAGAAAAACCAAGCACAGTCTCAACTCCATGCTGAATGTTGTGTTCAGAGTATTGGAGGACACATGAGTCCAGAGTTAGGGCCTCTATCAGAGATGCAGGATAAGGGCTGGTTTTCTGTGCAGAGAGGAAAATTATTCTTATATCTTCCTGCTATATCATGAGTTCAGGAGTAAGAGATTTATATGAGACAATTAGTATTGAGATAAAATCAGGTACAAAGTAGCATTCATGGCATCAAAGTATCACATATTTTACTGAACGTTTCTCTGTCAACAGAGAAAATTTTTGCATGTGTGAAGCTGTGTTCATTCCCAGGGCTGCACGGATAGTGAAGAGATAGGAGCAGAGGATTCATGTGCTCATGTCTTGCTTTTTTATATGAACATTGCCTCAGTAAAGAGGAGAAGGAAGAAAGTTAGAAAAGAGAAACATCACTTAGTGTGAATACGTATTATAAATAATGCTATAAATTTTCAGCCTTACTTTATTAATTTTTGTATATAAAATCTCCTCTGCTGGTTTACCAGAAATTATTAATCCAACTCATAGAAAATTAAGACATGAAAATCCTAAAATTTGACAATGTATGGAATGTTGTATAAGGTTCAATGAGTAACTAATACTTACATTAAATTGAATTAACTAAACGTGGCCAAAGACTTAGCTCAGCAGTATAGTATGTGATGCATAAAGCTAAAGGTTTGATCATAAATATTGAAAGAATTGTTATATGTATGTACTATTATGTTGAGTAGATATTCCAAGGATGAATGATGAGCTGTGCCTGAAATGCTTTCCAGATCCATGAAACCCAGCCTTTTCTTTGGTGCTGTTGGTTCTTGCTGTAGCAGAGACCACTGATGATTAACTGATCTGATAGCACAACTCATGGATGGTGTCTGCAAGTGCTGTACCAGGACAAAATCCAAACACTCTGTAGAGGGACCACCAGTTGTCTAATGGCCTGTGAGAGGTGATTGAGCATCAATAAAGTCCATGTTCTGAAAAGAGTTGAGACTGTGGGGCAGGTAAATGACACTGGGCAGGAAGTAATTATGGGACCAGGGAATAAAGTATGATCTCAGAATCTACCTCAATGAATATGTACATAAATTGATTTGATTAATTAATTTTTGAAAACTAATGTAATATACTCTTTAGCAACTTACAGGAATTTTACTTATGAGGCAGTGCATTTTGATAGATGTAATACATTCTAAGAAACTGGAACTACAGCTGACCTACACAGACAGAATTAATGATATCCCTGATGCCATGTGAACTTTCAGATTATGAAAAGATTTTGCTTGCCCAGATGTTATCATTTGGACTTTATTGGTCAAATTAGTGTTTTAGTTTTTTTAAAAGCTACACCAACAAACTTCCCAGTCTTATAGAACCCAAAGATAGTTTTACCATATTGCGTATACATAATTTCCACTTTTATTGTTTTAGTAATGAGGAAATGTGCAAATAGAGGTGGTAACTGGTAAAGAGATCATCATCCTAAATCAGCATCAATTCAAACAATTTCAGTTCTGAGAAGTTGGTAAGTCTGCACAAAGTGACAACGGGACACTCAGTCTGATTATTTCTGAGTAAATATCCAGGCAAATATTCCATGCCATCTAAGTCCCAGGGTAACTTCCTGCTCTTCCAGGGTTTCTGACACACTCAGGATGTGGTTGCAATACTGTTTATCCAACAGTGATAGGCCACAGAGTGCCCAGATGTCAGGCTGTTGAGGTCCATGTAGTCTCTGTTGGAGGATTTGTCTGCAGTCAGGGTGGACATGCCCTGGAACTTCTTTTTGTAGTTAGTATTACCATTATAAGTATAAATCCATTCAATCCAATGGAGGTCCTGTGCCGGCCTCTGCTGCATCAGGTTTATATAGTAGTCAGTAAAGGTGTAACCTGCACTCTTGCAAGACAGCTTCACTGAGGACCCAGGTTTCACCAGCTCAGCCACAGACTGCTGCAGGTGGATCTGGGAGTGGATGCCTGTTGTGAGACAGTCAGATTGGATTGCACTATCAACTGTGTGCATGGCCTCTCCTCATGTCTGGAACTTAGAGCCACCAGGAAGAGGAAGATCCAGATCCATCCCAATGTGAGGACCTGTGTGCTCACTGACTGTGGAGAGGACACTGATTACATGTTATGGGTGGTGTGGAAATCTTTGTTTTTACCACCATAGACTCACATGATTTGCTTATTCATGAGCAGGGTATGTCTTAGATAAGTAGCCATTCCTGAGACCAGTGCAGACCCTGTGGAAAAAAACACCAGTTCCTAATCTCTCAATTTAAAGATAGAATCACAATCAGATACTTTTGGTCCTCTTGGTGACAAAATTGCTTTCAGGTGGGGGTGAAAATTGTGAATGGATATTTCAAAAGTTCCTAAATTAGGAGCTTTTGTATTCTTCTCTCATGGACATACATTATTTGCTTTGGTAGCATGATGCTGTCTGTGTGTTTCCTGTCTGTGTGTGTGTTTCCTGTGTGTGTGTGTGTGTGTGTGTGTGTGTGTGTGTGTGTGTATGTGTGTGTTTGATGTTTTATCCTTTTCTTTTAGTTTAATGCATAGACTTCCCACCAGCCTGGTTCCAAAGCCATGTCAGTCCCAAATGAACACACAGGAGGACATAATAATTATGGAGTTAGGCTAGCTCTGACTTAATTATTGACCCATAATTACTAATATATATTTTTATAAGGTCTTATCTTATCCAAGAACGGATACTTGCGTTCCCTATTCCCAGGAAAAACATGGCGATGACTCTTTTTACTACATTTCCCAGAATCATCCTCAACTCCTAGTCCCACCTATCTTGCTTCCCTATTGGCCAACAATGCTGTATTTACATACACACAGGACTTCCCCATCATTTTTTGTTATGTTTCGACTTTTTATAGAGGTAAAGAAACGTTGTGGATTTGAGTGATAAGAAGGTGTAAATTGTGGTCTAAAATATTATATGAAAAAATGTTTTTCAAATATGAAAAATTAATAAATCTTATTAAAACAAACAAGAAAATTAAATATACAATATTAAATGAAGAATTTTCACACTAAATAATGGAGACTTCACATAACAAGTACAACAGGTGTTGTTCACGTAGCAGACTTTTAAAAGGAGTCCACAGAAACTATGGAGTTCCCTCCTCTCCTCATTTCATTTGTGTCCATTGACTTTTGTCTCCACTGTGACCCCTGCTCTTCCTGTGCACCTCTGCAGGTTGGTATGTCATGGCTTACACTCAAGTTTCATTGTGTAGGTTGAGCAGTAACACATTCCTGCTACTTCACTGTTCACAGAGGTCAGCTCTAGGAAATGTAGTGTCTTGTTTTCCGGGAAGCACTGAATGGATGTGGCAGAGACTGGTTGTATGTAGCAACTCTATCATTACTAATATTCCTCTCAACATCTGGCTCTTCTCTGCTGGTAGTTGGTTCCCGCTCATCACTATCCACTGCTACTTTAAAGTGACTACCGGGAATTATGGCATGCTAAGTCATTGTACCTTTGAATATTAATCAGCTTGTTATTGTTAGTCCCATCACATTTTGAATGGAATCATGGAGTTTGTCTAGTGTAGGTGCTTTGAGAGGCACCTGTCAGAGGTTTCGGTTAGTGTCCTTGGCTGCTGGGGCACTATGTGCCTTCCAGTTCCTGATATACCAAGGCACTCCCTCATTCAGATAAGCTTTCAAGTCACGTCTGTTTCTCTGTGTTCCATAGAACATCTGCTTACTTTCCCGATTCCCATGCGTAGGATCTCCCTCTGTCTCTTTCTCTCACTGTCACTCTGCCTTTGTCTTTCTGTGTCTCTCTCTTTCTCTCAGCTCTCAGGCTACCCTCCCTCTAATAACATACCATGGCCCAACAGTTTCCAATGTACACCCAGGTAAAAGTCCCCTAGGTTTCTTATTTTACCCTTCCTGCCTACTCTATTTGTTGTATCAGATTTAATATCAACTACAGACTTTGTCAGCAATTAGCTCCGGGTTTTCCCTCAAAAATATTGATGCTGGGACAAGTTTAAAATGGTTCACCCTAGGGGATCCTGATTCACAATTTGCTCCACCTGATGCTGACATGTCCCTAGTCCTAGAAGTTTCCTCAGAGCCTGGTCAGCATGTGCAGGCCCAGCCTTCCAGCTTCTTTTGGCCCCAACCCTGTTGTGGGAACTCTTCCAAACAATAGACTTTAAGGTACCTGCCCTTTCCTGTTGGAGTCTGAGGTGCGACATTAATACTGGGATGGGAGCTCTTGTCTTGGGGGTGATAGCACATGAGGGAGCAGATTCCGGGTCTCTGGGCAGAAGACCTCAGTCGTTCTCTACCTTATTATATTTGCTAGTGAGTGATTCCCTATTAAATACCTGACATCCCTTTATCGGACTTTCATGGACTCTATTACAATCATATATTACACCACCAAACAATGATGCCTCCGTTTCAAAAGGAAGCAGTCACAGAGAATATTACACGTTGTTACTTGTTGTTTGTTGATCATCAATAAAATCCTTGGATGTTAGGTTTCAAATTTGAGACAAATGGCTGAGGTTCTGATTTAAAATATCAAGACAGAAAGTGGATGCTATATTCTACCTGCCACCTTCAGACCTAAACTTTTACAGGATCCTCCTGGCTGGCATATTCCTCCACCTACCTTAAATGTTCCAACCCTGGGCTGTGCTACACAACCCCAGCTCCTAATCCTTGCACAATCCAAATATTTTAGTTACCAGGTCCTTTTCATCTTTCTTTTGGGCCTCCTGAGTGATTCCCCTGTTATTTCTTCATTTCTCTCTCACTCTACTTCTCACATGACTTAGGGAAAGTTCCACTCTGGATTCTTCCAGGTGTTCATGCCTCGGGCTATACTTTCAAACATAGCTAAAATAAACTTTCTCTTCCAACATACCTGGGGCAAGTCATGTTCCTAAACTTCAGAGAGACCCACAGAGTTACAGCCTAGGCCTCAGCTGAGTCAAGTAAGAGGTTTATGTCTGTTTTGAACAAAGGCTAGACATTAGATGAACAAAAAGTAACTGGATATACTATTGTGTAAGTCAAGGGTTAAGCAACTACATCAGGGGAAAAATGGGTCACATCTGTGTGTGATGTGTAAATCAGAAGACTTGAGACCTGTTAGGGTGTGTTGGCCACTGAGAGCAGCCTCACTTCCCTAGTGTCTCCCCTACACGCACTGTCCTAACTGGATACTACCAAGGATTTTTCCTGAATCTCATGAGGGAAAATCATCACCAATTATGTAGACCTTTATTGGCATTTGATCTTTGTCTTCCCCAGAATCATTTCTGCTATCAAAGCTGAGTTATTTTACATGTAATTCAAACTGGGTTATGTATATATTTTAACTTTTGGCAAAAGAGAACTCTGTTATCACAGATTTCAGAGATCAAAAATACAGACAGTATCCTGAGACAGGTGACAGCTGTGACCACATAAATCAGCTCCCAAATTAACATCTGCACCTTTTCCTGCACTGTTGCTCCCCTCCACATGTGATCCCTATCCCCTGCTGGTACGGAACTCTCCAGCAGGGAGGGTTTCGTCAGGGTTCACATTGTACTATTCTCACTGCATCTGCAGTACAGTAATAAATGAATGCTGGTGTCATCAGATCTTAAGTTGTTCATTTGCAGGAAGACATTGCATTTGCAGTCATCTCTTGAGATGGTGAAACTGCTCCTCGTACACTGACCACATTGTGTTGCATAATCATCAGGTTTGTGTTCAACTACACCAACCCAGTCTGCTCTATGGAGTCTGGTGGAACTGGAAGGTGAATCCAGAGGTTGCACAGGAGAGTTTCATGGAATTTTCAGACTTCATCAAGCCTGGATCTCACTCTGGACACCTATGAAAAGAGACTCATGTTGTTAAAGTTGCACAAATGTCCACTGCTCAATGCTGTATGTTCACTGATGACCACAGAGTGGGAATACCCATGAATCCAGAGCTGGGTGCCTTTGTCAGAGCTGTAGGTTCAGGCTGCTTTTCATGGGCAGAGGGGGACATAATTTGCATGTATCACTGTTATATCATGAGTACAGGGTCAGCAGGCTTAGCATAGACACATAATGATGCAGATGTCTGAGACAAAGTAAAGACCGAAGTGGCAGGTATAGCATCAAATTATCACCTTTTTTCCAAGTGCATAATTAATTTGATTGTATATTGTTTTGCATTTTTGAAGCCCTATGTTTATTCCCAGGAATGCATGATAAGCAAGAGGATGGGGCAGGGGAATCAGAGGTTTGAGTTATGTTTGGAATTTATGACCTCTTTGTCAGAAAGAATATGGAAAAAAGAAGGAATGAGAAAAATAGTAATTCTACTTAGTATGAATTTATGGTTTTACATAGAGATATAGGTTTTCAGGCTTACTTTATTATTCTCTGTATTTCTAAACTCTTTTCCCGCCGTTGGTTAACATATTAAATGACTTAATAAGTAACTCAGACAAGAAAACTGAAAGATAATTATGATTGGATAAGTGAATGATGAATGCATGGCATGCATCAAACTGAAGTAGCCAAATGCTGCTGAGGCCATAGCTGAGTGGTAAGACATGTCAAGCACAAAAGCCTCAGACTGATCTTCAAAAAACAGTAGAGCTACCATGTAAATATAAACACTGAGATTATTCTTTAACAGTGATTAAACACATTTTTAAGACACAAGCTTAGCTCATCCTGTTCTCATCTTCTCCACCTACCATACAGCCCTGCAATTCCCTGTGCTAAAGGTACTGCCAGTTCTTCTTTGACATCCCTAAATCACCCAGTGTGACTATTTCCTTCTAGCCATACCCTGTTACAAGCATTCTTACTGCCAGCCTGGTCTTAGAGCCTTGTCAGTCCTAAATGAATATGCAGACACTATATTATTTATGAACCTGTTGGCAGTTCACTTCGGCTTCTTATTGGTTAGCTCTGAATTATTAACTCATCTTTCATATCCTACATGGTGACATGTTCTGCTTTCATTTCCTTCAATCCTCCTCATCCT